TATGGTTGTTTTTATTTTCCATGTAACAACTATCAACACAAGGTGGAGATTTTGGGAAAATAGAGCTTAAAGCCGGAATGTATATACACAGCTCCTGGAGATGAGCAAGGTAAGTAACCTGGGGTCAGTGATCAGGGGCCAAAGTTTGTCTCTAGACTTGCCCAGGAAGGAGTCAGGCCAAGGCCAAGTTCACATACCTCTTCAGGAACAAAAACCTCCAACCTAAACAAGTAAGGCTGCTTCTAAGTGTTGAAGTTATTTTTCATGAGCTCCTTTGGCCTAATACCCTAGAAGCCAGTGTGGAACACTCAAAAAAATACAATAGCTATTTTCTAAGTCTTTGAATCTTCCTGTTAGACATCAAGGTGCTGCCAAGAGTGGCTAAGGATCTATCTGAGTAAAAAACAGAACATAGACCAGATACAACTCTGAGAATTGAGATCTCTTTCCAGGAAGGTGAGTGATCAGAGGAGTGAGTGAGAGAGAAGCCGAGAGTGGAGAGAGATGAAGAGACAGACAGAAAAGGTAGGGGAAAGATGGAAAGATGAGAGGATGGAGGGGCAGAGGAAGGAGAGAAAAGGTATTTTTAGAAGAAAGAGGTGAAAGAAGAATAGGACAATAGAGGATGGAAAGAGAAAGAAGGGAGTGAAAAGGAAAGGGGGAAATAAGATTTTTACTTTCAGTGAAGTTTCATAAACTACATCAGGCTTTGGGAGCAAGTGTCCTGTTAAACATTCTAGAAGGCCTATTCCACAGGGAGTTGGTGCAAACCCAAAGGCTGGTTCAAATCCACGAAAAGCTCCAAAGTAGAAAGATAGGCTACCTGTTGTTGTTATTATATGCCGTTGAGTCGCTTGCGACTCATAGCGACCCTATGTACAGCAGCCCTAAACTCTGCTCTGTCCTGTGCCAATCGCACTGCCTCTGACACACCCATCCCATTTATCCCAGTCACTGAATCTGTCCACCTCATAGAGGGTCTTCCCCTCCTGCTCTGTCCCTCCACCCTCCCAAGCATGATGTCCCTCTCCAAGGACCTGTCTCTCCTTACATGTCCAAAGTATGTCAGACGAAGCCCCAGAATCCTTGCCTCCAAGGAGCAATCTGGTTTAACCCTCTCCAGGATGAATCTTTTTGTTTTGTTGGCAGTCCATGGTACATTCAATACTCTTCTTCAGCACCACAGCTCAAAGGCATCAATTCTCCTTCTATTCTCCCTAGTCATTGTCCAACTCTCTGATGCATAACAAGTGATTACAAAGGCCATAGCCTGTATCAGACGCACCTTAGTCTCCATAGTGACACCATTGCTCTTCAGTACCCTGGAGAGGTCACTAACAGCAGACTTTCCCATCGCATTTTTTTTTATTTCCTACCTACTGGTGCCAAGAGTGTTGACCGTGGAGCCAAGCAGACTAAAGTTGTTAACAATCTCAATCTCTTCACCATCCATCCTGATGCTGCCAACTGGTCCAGTGGTGAGAATTTTTGTTTTCTTGGCATTGAGCTTCAATCCATACTGAACGCTGCAGTCCTTGACCCTCTGCAGCAAGCATTTCAGGTCCTCCTCAGTTTCAGCAAGCAGAGTTGTGCATAACTCAGACTCCCCTGCAATTTATAGTCTGAGAAGCCTGCTGGAGGGTCAGCTGTTAGTCTGATCCAACTCAATGGTGATGAGAGAGAGTGAGAGTACAAGCTCAACTTTACTTGAGAAAAGAGATTCATATTAAATAATGAACCAGATGATTCCACGCAGGTAAATATAGTCAACCTTTCACAGTTGTGTGGCATCGAGTCACCTGCGGCTCCTAGCAACCCTATGGACAACAGTTCTAAAGCTTGCCATGCCCTGAGCCAGTCCCACTGACTCTGACACATCCCCATTGTCCCAGTTACTTCATCAATCTATCTCATCCGGGGTCTTCCTCTCCTATGATGAATCTACACTTCTGAGCATAATGTCCTCCAAGGACTGATCCTTCCTGGCCACGTGCTTCGAAGTAGTAAAACATACATTGTTTTGTGAAATACAAGTTGCACAAATTCTGAACTACAGCTTTTTCCTGCATTCGATTTTTTCCAATAGTAAAGAATACTTTGTTTTATGAAACCTATTCATTACGAATTATAAACTGCAGCTTTATCCTATGTTAGTTTTCATGTAAGAAAACACACTTTGTTTTGTGAAATTCGTGTTGCGCAACTGTAGCTTTGTCCTACATACTAGTATTTCCAAGTAGAAACATTCATTGTGTTACCAAGAGATTTGCTATAAGGCTCCAGAATATGTTGTGACATAAACACAAGTAGAACATACTTAAGATCTTATTTCCAAAGATTTGAGTGGTATTAAATTTCCCAAGCAGCCCTGGGTTATCTTTGTATCTTTTGTTTTCTGTGCCAGAATACATATTTATACTAATTGTCATTTGTTTTCTTGAATTAATTTGCTTAAGTGGAAGTGCACATTTTAGATAATACAATATCATACATCACTCTATGCTTATGACACTGCTATAAGTAAACTCCACCAAGTAAAGTCTCACTACATTTTTTTAACAAGCCCTGCAAATGCAGGACCTCAAAAAATTAGTCTAAGACTCAAGTTGTTCCTCTCCACAGATATCTTTAGTAAAAGGCGAAAGATTTATTCGATCTGAAGAAAAACAAGAACATAAGTCTCACTACTTTTAAAAATTTTATTTGTGTATTACTGAGTGGGAAGAAACTCCTCGGTGATGCTCTAGCAAGTTTTCGGAAGCAGTAAATTGCAGGGGAATTTGCCCATCTTCCTACTGAAAAGCAGTCAGTGGATTTGAACCACCTGCCATTGCAGTGCAGTTCCTTACCACTAGGCCACTAGAGCTCCCATTTACTTTAATGTCCCTTTTTCATATATTAGGAGCTCTGATGGCTTTGTGAGAAGGATTAATATACTTACAAACTAAAAAAAATGCCTTTTCATAGGAGTTTTATCCCTTCATTAAGTTTATCAAACTTATTAGACCTACGGAGGCCAAAGGAATTCTCAAGACTGTTGCCCTGAAATATTCTTTAAACTTTTAATCAAAGCTATTAACTTCAAGTCACCATTAAACCAAGTAACACGTTAGCTCAAAAAAATAAAGATTTAAGTTATTCTTGGATATTGCATTCCTTTAAAAAAATTATCTATATGAGAGCAAATGGACAAGCTACCTAAAGCCCAGATAAGAAGCTTGAAGGCAGAAAGTCTAAGTTTGTGGGAGTGCAATAGAGGAGAAATACTGGAGGTGTTGATACAGCGTGAAGGATGGAGCCAAGGTCACTGAGCACAATGTGTAGAAATTGGTGAACATAAGTGCGTTTTGCTGTGTGTATTTTCACCAAAACGGAAATAATTTCCAAGAATCTTCTGAAGTTTATCCAAACGATATCCACAGCCTTTGAGTTGTGGTTTTGGAGAAGAGTACTGAATATTCCATGTTGTTGTTGATTGCCTTCGAGTCGAACATGACTCATAGCAACTGAATGAACAAAAGGCCTGAAGCCCCTCTACAACCATCCACATTTATCAAAGTTCATAGAGTTTCCAGAGGCATGTTATTTAGGAAGTGGATGCCACTCTTGCTTCCAAACCTGTCATAGCATTTTATTGTTATGTGCCATTGAGTCACCTGAAATGTATAGCAACCCTATGTACAGCTGCTCTGAACCCTTCCCTGTCCTGAGCCAATCTCACTAACTTCAATATACCAACCCCCATTGCCCATACCAAACAGATATGTCTTGGACAAAGTGCAACCAGAGTGCTCCTTGGAGGCAAGGATGGTGAAGCTTCATCTCATATACTTTGGTCATGTGGTTAGGAGGGACTATTCCTTTAGGAAGGGGCATGATGTTTGGAAAGGTAGAAGGTCAGCAAAAGAGAAGACCCCCAACAAGATGGATTGACCCAGTGACTGCAGTAATGGGTTTGACTATGTCAGAAATGTGAGAATGGCACAAGATAGGACAGGGATAAGATCTGTTGTTCATCTTTTTGCTTTTCAAAGAGAGGAGCGAACTGGCGGGAGGGGGGTAAAAAAAAAAGTGTAACAATGAATGAATGAAAATCCAAAATCTCTGTAAATGCTCATTAAAATTAATAAAATAAATTTTTTTAAAAGTCACAAAGAAAAAAAAGAGATCTGTTGTTTACAGGATCACTAAGAGTCATACTCTACACCACCTAGCAACAACAAAAACAATCACTATTGAATTTAATATTAGATTATATACATATGACAAAATCCTATATCAAATTTGGACTATCAATTTTACTTTTTAATTTTCTTGATCACAATTCAATTATGTTCAAGATGGATTAATTAAATTCAAGTTCAAAACAACCAAATATGTAATTTTAGTGCATAATATTGAATCTTACTAAAATTATGATATTCCTCGAATAGAAAATGTATGGTTAAAGATTTATAACTCTTAAAGATGACATTTGGTAGTTAAGACAATCTGGAAATATAGTTCATAGCTCCTACTTGTGTCCAGGAAGGCTGGGCAGGAAGTCCTTTGCCCATTTCCTTACAATTTGCTCAGTTTGCCTGAGGTTTGGATTAGACCCAGCAGCCTGTGTGTTTGAGGTCTGACACCCACATCCTTGGGCCTACTCCCACGATCTCCCAGAACTGTCAGCCGAACACCCCGACTATATAGTTCTGGGCTAAAGACAAGGACAGCGCTATACCAGTATTTCAGACTGAAGGTGGTTTGTCCAGAGGCTGGGATGGATAGTGTGGGAATTAAAGAGTTAAACAATTCTATCCTTCCACATCTACAACACAAATGAGCCTTCGTGTCAGCAAGAGATCTATCCGGCACTCCTCGGTCATATCTAGGTGGCTGTCATCCATGGACAGAACAAGGTATGTTCAAGCTCCCTAGAGTCATTCTAAGGGCCAAGCGTGGCAGACAGAAGGGAGGGCCATACTGATTCTTCCCAGAGAGACAGGCTATGTCATTACCTCTCATTTCCGTAGCTGAGGAACCATTGGACCATGCTGTCCACTTATTCCTGTGCTTGCTAATTTCCTGGACTTTGCAGATGTAGTGGCCTTGATCTGTGGGCCGGAGGGTCAGCACCGAGAGCTGGTATAGGGCCCCGCGCCGTGCCTCCAGGAGGTGCAGCCGCCGCCGGTTAGCACTGCGGCTGTAAATGCCATAATACTGAACCACCCTGAGTTTGGTCATTTTAATCATCAAGGTTTCCTGGGAGTTAGGCAGAGCAAAGAGCCAGCGCACAGCCAACAAGCTGTCTCTCCGTCGCTTCTGGGAAACATGGCAATGAAGAGTGGCATTGTCCCCCTCCAGGTAGTCCACCACAGGCCCAGGCGACACAGTGACATTGAGGGCCCCACAGACCTCTGCAGAAAAAAGGAAAGGAGGAAGGTCATAAGTCAGCTGCTTTTCCCCAGACAGAAACAGTATCTCTGGAGGAGCCAGAACCCCAAATAGCAGCTGTCTCCAAGACCTGCAGGCTGGAAGGCAGGCTTACCACACTCCCACACTTGTTCTGTCTCAGTAAGGACAGGAGGATGGGGTTCTGCAGAGTGGGATACCAGGCACAGATTCCTTCTCATTATGGACTCTAAGCATTGATACTTGGACCCAGATGAATTTTTAAAATATTTTTATTTCTAAATATGTATTTACAGCTCACTTGTTTCCTGATATTTAAAATCTAAGAAGTTTTACACAAAATAATTAATTTGTTTAAATCTCTTGAAAATTCCCCACCTATATCCCATATCCCTCATCCCTTTCACTGTCACTGCCTGGCACCTCCTTTGACATCAGGTAGTAAGTACTGTTGAGGAGTTAAAAGAGGATTGTGACCAAGCGGATGAGCAAAGACATGTTTAACTAATAAACAGACTTTAGATCACTCACCCATTCTGACTCAGGGAAACCTACTGATTGACTAATAATGGCTTTGATAACAGGAATACCTGCAAAGCCTAGAAAAATAGCCTTGTTAATGAGGCTCTGAGTAAACATGAGGAGCATGTCCCTTGTAAATCCACTGGTAAATGTTTTACTGAGAGAATACTCTCGAGGAAATGTTTATATTCCCTGCTGTAACTGCTACTATCTGTTTTATGAAATATTGTTAATCATTTGGAGATTTTGCTTAAAAGATTCACTTGTGCTGAATAAAATCACTTAAGATTCTTAAAGTCTTTAATCCCTTGCTCTCCAACTATTTAATGACTATCTTTTCTCAAGTCTCTCTGATTTCCCACTCTTGGACCTGTTGTAGAGCTGGGCTCTACACATTGTGAGGTCTAGTACAGGCTGACATGTCCATCACTTGTCCACAAAGCCCTTCCCGCAAGCCAGTCTGCCTTTCCAGTCCCTTTTCCCATCTCAGTAACTTCAGCTGTGGCCCAGAGGATCAGGTACAGCAGGCCCTACACTAGTGCCATTGAGCTGAAATGACAAAGGATTTTCAAATCTAAGTATAAATAATCTTTGCACTCAACATCTATATTCTCAGAGTCAAAGTAGAGGAATCAAAAGCAAACAAGTTTCAGGATATGGGAGGAATAAAAGAATCTCTGTCACCCCAAAAGAGGCTGTGAGTCACAGATCTTCCACTCAGTGTCTTCTCTGCATCTAAATGTTCCTTTGGTGGTGCTACTCCACACTTACCCATACCAGCCAAGGAGACAGTACAAATAGTGCTTCCAGAGGTCAAGTGGTAGGACTGGGATGCCCAGAGTTTACAGAAGCATGAGGTCATTCACTGGGATGCATGAGAAAATGGAGCTCAGAAAAGAATGCTTTGTAGAGGATACCCAGAACCACTTTCTGTCCAATCCCATTTCCACCTCAGCAATACCAAACAGATAAGGCCACCAGTGTCATTCACTGACCTCCCACTATACAGGTAGAGATAGCCACATAAGAGATCTGCATCTCAGATGTCAGTCATCAAGGCCTTGAGCCTTGGAAATATGTAAAGATGATCAAGTTGTAAACAAGGAGGATGTTAGTCAACAAAGATGTCAACAGAAGTTCTATGGAGGAAGTGAGGAAAATGTCACATAGAAAATATTCTTTATTGTCATGTCCAGGCCATCAGGTCAACATAAAAAAAGAGACTGTCTCTCTTTATGGTCTCCATGTAGAGGACCAAAGAATGTAAAAGACTGCATCCTTAGACTATGGCTGTGTGCCTTGCACACAGAAGGTGTCTTCAGAAAGAAGATTCCAAGCAGATCTCACAAGGCACTCTGAGAAGGAAGATTGCAAGTGGTTCTCATACATCTTTAGGCACTAACTTTCATTATTATTCCTGCTCTTTATAAGGTTGTTGCAAGATGAGAGAAAGCACAGTTTATGATTACAAAGAAGTCTTGGTTGAATGTATCTAACTATGTACTCAACCCATCGGAGCCCTATAGTAATCTTAATGTTTCTACTTGTACCAGGCCAGCCTGGGCTCTATAATGTAACCCTTAAAGTTTCTATTTCCCTGTGAACCATCTCTTTGTTTCCAAAAGGTATAAATAAAGATGGCACAGCTTCTGGGGTGTGGGTAGGTGGGGGGGGGGTCCAGTCCTGTCCTGTCTAGCTGCAGCAGTCCTATTTTGTCTCTGTATGTTGTTTGTCTCTTTTGTCCTTATTTATTAATTTCTTCCAGGCATATTTTCCCCCAGAGAAACAGAATAAGTGGTCTCCAACATCTCCATGACTGGTTTAATAAATACTTCAAGAGATGTGTGATTTGGGAGTCAATTTTCATTCTTTAATCTTAAAGAGTCAAGACATTTTCCAGCAGAAAATCCAGGACAATCTCCCCATCTCAAGGTCCTTAATCACTAAAGCAAAATATTTGCTATGTAAAGTAACTTATCCAGAGGCCATGGAAATTAGGGCATGGACATCTTGGGTAGGGGGCAATATTTTACCTCTCACATCATGGTAGTCTTTTACTATTCAAAGGAGGGTGGCATGATTGAAAAAAAAAATATTCAGAAGAAAGATGCTGACCCTTTTGAGCAGGAATGGGGTCTCCTGTGTTTTCAGTGATGAGCATCAAAGCAGGCCAAGAGAGCCTTGGGAAATACTTGCAATTCAAGAGGAAAGAATCTGTCTTTTAGTGCTCACATCACCGTGGGCAGAGCCACACATGGTTATAGTGACACAACAGAAGAAGAGGGAAGAGAACTGCCGCCTCACATTATCATAATCATCCATCCCACTCATCCTATGCCAGATTACATCAACAGGCTAATGCCTGTTTGGGAACAGCATCTGGATTGCTAAGGCTTTGGCTAACATTCACATTGGCCCAGGAACAACAGGTGATTCCACGCCGAGAGAGCCTCATGGCCAGTGAGCTAGCAGAGAACAGCAGAAGCACAGCTGTGGTTCCTAGGATCTCGGCTCATGCCATTGGCCCCTAAGCCTCCCCACTGAAGTCAAGGAGAATAGAGGAAGTCAGGAAATTTAAACAATATGGAATACAGGTTAACCCCACACTCCAGTCTCCTCCTATTAACTCCACATGAAGGAGTAATTATTTATAGAGTCTGAAACTAGGAGAATATGCTCTAGTCCTAACGGGAGGCCCGATTCCAAGCTAGAGACAAACCAGTAACTCTTCCACTTCTGCAGTAAGCTCTTGTGAAGATAGATTTCTCCAAGACTAACCTCCTCTTCACTTTATCCTAGAGTTTATCTGCTTTTGCCTCCACGTGCATCAGTTTCTCTCACTGGGATGTAAAAGGCCCTGTGCACACTTCAGCCTATGCACCTGCTACAGTCTATTCACTTGTGCCTACTTTCAATACCAGGTGATGGGTGGTGTGTGATGACACTGTGATGCTTAGAGCATCCACAGAGTCATAAAGCTTTCCAAGGGGACACATGTTTCTAGGTTGGAGGGAGTCAATTCTATGAGATTTCTCAGAAAAGTTGATGCTCCAGGTAATGATAACCCCCTTTACATAGAAGACGGTCAATTTTAATTCTTCAATCCGGCTCAAAAATCACACATCAGGTAAAGATGGCACAGGAAGAGGCCCAAGAGGAAACACGGGAGAGGCTGCAGTACACATAGTAGTTCATACCATGTTCTGTTAAATAGAGAGAGAAGGGGTCACATTGCTTTACCCTACTGTGATGACAGACCCCAGAGATCTCAGTAGAGAAACTTTAGTAAGAGTCAGGGTTAGGCAACTCAAAGGCCAACTAGAGGAGAAAGAGTCCAGGTCTTTCCTTTATGTATCTCGGGCTTGCACTTAACCTGTACTTGAACAATGGGGCCAAGCTGCATTCTAGGCCCTTCCCAACACCATCAACAAGAAGACAGACAGCCACTGTCCAAGTAAAATTAAATCATTGATGACATTAATCTCTTCTCTGACTATCATAATATTAACTACTGATCCAGTGGTGAAGATTTTTGTTTTCTTGATGTTAAAATGTAATCTATATGCAAGACTGTAGTCTTTGATCTTCTGTAGCAACTGCTTCAAGTCCCCTTTGCTTTCAGCAAGCAAGGTCGTGCTACCTGCATAACACAGAATGTTGATGAGTCTTCCCCCAATCCTGATGGCACATACTTCTTCTCAAACCACTTGTTCAGTGTACAGATTGAGCAGGTATGGAGTAATGATAAAACCCTGAAGCACACCTTTCCTAATTTTATACCATGAAGTGTTCCATTGTACTGTTTGGACAATAACTTCCTGATCTATGTAGAGGTTTCACATGAACACTATTAAGTGTTCTGAGATTGCCATACATGTAAATGTTAGTCATAATTTTTTGAGATATGCACAATCAAATTCCTTCACATTTGATGTGACCCTAGAAATAGCCACAGGGCTATTAATAAAATACAATATCTTTTTCACTTGATCCCACAAATTGTGGAGCTAGTTCTGTCCTGTCCATAAGTATATCTTAAATACCCATGAATAAGTTAAGAGGTCAAAACTCTGTTCATATTTGGATAATGTTGCAAAAAAGGACTAACACAGTTTGGGAAACAGCCTGAAAGGATGACCACATATCCAAAAATAAGTAGCCACTTACATGAAACAGGCAGAGGATGACCATTTCTAGGTCCAGGGGAACACAGAATCCCTGACAGAGGAAAAGTACCAGGACCCAGGAAACAGAGGGGAGGACAATGGGAGTTCTCAACCAGCCAGTGGTGTCCTGTTAACTTTGGGCCCCACATTCCCTCTGTCCAGAAAAAAAGGCTTCATTCACTTTTAGGGGCTGGGAACTCTATATTGATAAAAAATGCACTATCAGTATCATTCAGAGCAATAACTTTGTTCTTGTATATTAGTCTGAATTCATGGCAAGTAATCTCTGAAATGTGCAAAACAGATCATTTGGTAGGCTGGGTTTTAAAAGGAGAAGTGTGGCATCAGGATTGGAAAAAGATCACCAACAATCTGCATTATACAGATGACACGATTTTGCTGGCCAAAACTGAGGAAGACCTGAAGTATTTGCTGCAGAAGGGCAAGGTTTCTAGTCTTCAATATGGATTGAAGTTAATCATCAAGAAGATAAAATTGACCCATCACTGGGTCAATTGACAACACCATGAAAGATGGAGAAGAGATTGAAATTGTTAACAATTTTAGCTTGCTCTACTCTGCAATCAACCTTCTTGGCACCAGCAGTCAGGAAATCAAAAGACAAATTGTATTAGAGAAAGTCTGCTGTGAAGGACCTCTCCAGAGTGCTAAAGAGCAATTATGTCACTTTAGAAATTAAGGGGAATCTGCTTCAGGGCATGGGCTTTGCACTTACATGCTATGCCTCAGAGAGCTGGATAATGACTAAGGATGGCAGAATAGGATGATGCCTTTGAGTTGGGTGCTGGAGAAGAGTCTTGAACATACCATCACCACCAAGAAAACAAACAGGATTGTACAGGTGAGGGTGAGAACAAGTTTCTCCTTAGAGACAAAGATTTTGAACCTCCATCTCACAAATTTTGGGCACGCAGCCAAGAGGAGGAAGTCATGCTAGGAAGAGTGGTGGTACAGTGCAGGAAAGGACAACACCACATAAGATGGATTACTGAGATAATGGGGGTAGATGTGTGAGAGACAGTGAGACTGGCTCAAGATAGAGCAAGGATCAGAGTTATTGCGCATAGGGTCACTGTGAGTCTCAGGGGACTCAATGGCACCTAACAACAACAATCACTGAAAAAATATTACTATCGTTAAACTCCCCAGAGCTAGGAACCAATGTTTATAGAGCAGAAAGTAGAACTGATAATAGACTAAGTTCAAGAGATGACACATTTACATTAAATACATCTATCAGCTAGGACAACATACCACTTTGTCTACTAATCTAGGATAACATTGCCTGAGCTGTAAATTTTATGCAAAGCATGGTTCTAAATGATTTAGTATAGGTCTTCAGTTTATCGTCACACAATGCTCATGCTCATGCTCATGCTCATTTTATGGATGACAGAATAAGACATGAGAGTTTAGAAATCTGCTCAAGCCCATACATAGTAAACAGCAGAGCTGAAATATGCACCTAGGCAATCTGGCTTCAAAGACCAGAACCACTAGTTAACCACTACTCAGGACTACAAAGAAGCTTTTAATAAACATTCTGCTGCTTCCTTTCCTTGTCTGTAAAATGAAATATGGGATGAGTTGACTACTACTCCATTTGAAATGAAGAAGTGGAAGGGTGGCAGTTATGAGCCCAGACTTGATATCAGGTACCCCTATCAAGATGACTGTGAGGACTGATGGATGAAGCACTGAGAAGGCAGTAGCTGTGAAGAATGATGGATGTGCTTTCACTGCCAAATGGAGTATTACCATTGTTGTAAGATGTGACTCTGGAAATAGCCACAGTAAACTCTGAAAAAAAACTTAAATTCTAGTTCCTAACATAACTGAAGACTCTTTGGAATTTTACAATGCATCCTGGACTCCCAAAAATTCCATCTCTGGAGCCTTCTCTTACAGCAATCACTATTAGGAATGTCAACATAAAACCAAGAGAGGAAGAGGCACAATGAGACCTAGCTAGCCTTAAAGATTTCTGGGTGGAGAGACTGTTATGAATTGAATTGTTGTTGTTGTTATTTATTGCCATCTAGATAAGCACGACTCATAGTGACCCTACGAACAAAAGGCCTTAAGCTTTTCTATAACTATCGTCTTTTCAAAGCTCATATAGTTTCCAGAGGCATGTTGTTTAGGAAGTGGATGCCAATCCTGCTTCCAAACCTGTCTTAAACTGGGAGCTCCACCAAACACTGTCTACCATGCATATGGTATTTGACACCCCAATGGCACAAGGTTCAGCAACACAGCATCCCCAGGCTACCTCAGTACAGCATATTGACAGAACAGCACTGTAACACTTAGAAGAATGTACCTCCAAAATATAGTAATAACAACCCACTTTTAAATACAAAAGCCCTCCCCAAGGTCTTGTTGACTCTAAAGAGGAGGCTTAAATAAAAATCAACCAATATAGAATGTTTTCTTTGTTATGTGCCATTGAGTCAGCTGCCACATATAGCAACCCTATGCACAACATGTCTGGACTCTTCTCTGCCCAGAGCAAGTCTCACTAATTCAGAAACACCAACCTCCATTGCCTCAGATAATGTATCAATCCATCTCATCCAGGGTCTTTCACTCCTGCACTGTCACTACTCCACTCTTCTGAGCATTCTCCAAGGACCAGTCTCTCCTGGTCACATGCTCAAAGTATGTGAGATGGAGCTTCAAAATCCTAGCCTTCTTGGCAAAGAGGAAGTAAAATTATCCCTCTATGCAGATGACATGATAGTATACTTAGAAAACCCTAAAGACTCAGCAAGAAAACTATTGGACATAGT